TGGGTGGGATTGGGGGTGAGATGGGGAAGCCGTTACATGAAGATAAAACAATAAAAAATATACATCATGACAGAAGGGGATAAATGTTTTGACGAATAATAATAGCAGGCTGAGGAGATGGCAAGTGGCAAAAAGTGGTGCTACTTTAGATAGAGTAATCAGGAAAAGTAAGTTGATATTTAGATGGAGACCTGAATAATAAGTAAGGGAGCAAGTCATGCAAAAATGTGAAAGAAAAGCATTCCAGGCAGTGGAAATATACTTGCAAAGGTCCTGAGGCCAATGTTTGATGTGTTCTCGGGCCAGTAAGGTGAGCCAGGAGGAGAGTAGAAAATGAGGTCAGATTGTGTAGAATCTTGAAAGCGATGGTGAGGCCTTAGGACTTGATTCTGCATGAGATGAAAGACACAATGTAGCTTGAGTTTTAAAATGATCATGCCAGCCTGTGAATTGAGAACAGAACAGGGAGGTGAGCGTGGAAGCTTGGATACTGGTTGGGAGGCTATTGAAATAATCCAGGCAAAAGACGGTGATTGGGATTGGGGTGGAGTGGGGAAAAGTGGTTGGTGTAGGCTATATTTTTAAGTAGCCTGTAGGAATTGCAAATGGATGAGACATGGGATATGAAGAAGAGAAGAGTCAAGGGTGACTATAAGATTTTTTGGTCTGAACAACAGAAATATGGAGTTGCCTTTTGAGATTTGGAAGGCCAGAGGAGAGCAAGTTTGAGGGGGCTGGCAGTTGAGTTCTATTTTAGACATGTTAAGCTTGAGTTGCTGTATGACATTGAAGTGGAAATAGTGAGTTGGCAGTTGGACATATGAATTTATAATTAAGAGTAGAATTTGGAACCGAAGTGAGAAATGTGGGGTCGTTTGCGTATGTGAGAAGTGAGAGTAGTAGTGACTGGAAACCAAATGAAAGTCTTTCAAGGAGAAAGTGGTCACCTATCTAAAGCATTGCTGATAGATCCAAGTAAATGAGTATTGACAAGTGTATTTGACCGCGTAGAGATCATTGATGATCTTGACAAGCACTTTCCATTGGGGCTAAAAGTGCCTTATTGAAGTGGGTTCAGAGAATGGAAAAAGAGAAAGTAGACTCAGCAAGTCTTTCAAGAAGCTTTGCTATAAGGGAGAAGAAAAATTAGCTAAAGAATATATGGTCAAGGAAGTTTTGTTTTAATATGTGAGTTAATGTGACATGTTCATATACTGTTAGGGAAATTCCAGGAGAAAGGGAGACATTGATGATTTTGAAGAGAATGGGGACAATTTCAGGAGGAAAGCCCTCAGATAGGTGAGAGGTGGTTGGGAACCAAGGCTTTTAATAAGTGTTGGGACAGTTCATCTGTCAACAGGATTTCCAGCCCCAGTTTGGCCATCGTAATCATGAGGTGATAAAAAAAAATGCTAATACTTGGGTCCCAGCCTGGACCAGTGAGGTTATGATCTCCAAGCAGAGAGCCCTTGGCATTGGCATTTTCTAAAAGCTTCCCATCTGCTATGTGTAACCTGGAGTGGGGTGGGAGGATAACAGTATGAGTGCTGATATAGACAGTTTGATTGATTTGGTGATAAGAGCATGGAGAAGCTCTCTTGATTGTTCTATTTGATCAGCTCAAAAAGAAGAGGAGGGAACAGTGCTAAAGGTTTTAGAAGAGGATATGACAGAGTTGCCTTGGAGAATGTGAGAAGGATTTAACTGGGGAAATGTAGGTTGGCCAGGCCACATTTGGGACTCACTTTCAAGTTTGTAGTCATACATTTAAATGTAATCCGTCATGTTTTCTTCCACTCGCTTTAGAATACATGCAGAGGAGGCAGATTCCTGGCATTGAGGTTCTTGATATAGACAGTTTCCAGTCAGAATTCAAATATGAGTACAACTCCTATTTCTTTTCCTGTAGAACAAAGGTCTTTCTTTCCCAGTGCATTATATTTGAAATACCATGCACATGGCTGGATCCTAAGCAGTAAGGTTATTGGTTTACAGAGATGTAATGGATTATAGATCTAAATCTCACCTCCTTTAAATAAGGGGAAACAGGTGCTCTTTATTCAATAGGGGAATAGAGTGTGCTTTGATTTGTTTTCTGGGGTGTTAATAATTTGGTTTAGATCTCTATGCATTCAACTCCACCTTTATTTTTTAACATATTACTTATATGTGCTGCTTTTCCCCTAGAAACCAACATCCATATTGGAATTTTACCGAGAACTTGGATTACCGCCAAAACAGAAAGTTAAAATCTTTCATGTAACAGATAATGCTGTAATTAAGCCAGGTAATCTGAGGTCGGGGAGAGGAGGGAGGTAAAAATACCCAAATATGTGATTTGTTTAATGTCAGCCCTTTCAATAAAGCTGAATCTAAAATACAAAGCCCCAAACACTTATTTTTAAATATAAAACCGTATCTGATTTAATCACTAGGAACAAACAAGTCTCTGTCCTTTTTAAGTGGAAAAAGCTGTAGAGAACTCTTTGTTTTCCATGAGAGAGGGAGGAACACTTTTGTTTTTAATGTAGAGAGCTTTCCACGTTTCAAAAAGCCACTCTAAAGAAATACACTAACTTTTAAAATTTGAGGTTCCCTGTTTGCAGGCTGGCGTTCTGTTAAGTGAAGAATAGCTAGACTCTTGTTTAGATAAAAGAACTTGAGAAAATATAGCCTGAAACAGGAGAGTGACCAGCAATAGCACCTCAAAATAAAAAGTCTTACTTAAAAATTTCAAAATATTTTACCTATTCCATGTAATGTCAAATGGTATGAGTTGGCATATGATTATATTGGTTCATATAGTTAACAAAATATAACATTTTAATGTCTTTGAACTTCAGCTCCTTGATCTCTTGAACTTGAGTTCTAACAAGAAGACAGTAGGATGAT